GAGTGAATGATGTAGCATCTAAAAAGCCATGCTGTGATAACAATCGAGATCAGGGGTATAGATAACATTTGAGAGCTTTACATAATTTTCAGTTCAACAATAAAAATCTACCTGGGGCTTATGAGGACAAGTTTGTTTGGTTAACTCCTGGGTATTAATGAGCTTACGTTCATTTTATGGGATTAAAGGCTGTTTAAAGTTTTAGAAAGTTACCCAAGGTCATAACCAGTTAGGAAGGTCACCAGCTTTCCTGAGGGACTGAAGAGATTACAAAACCAGTGCAGGCTGTGAGCAGCCCCCCTGCTCCTCACCCCTTAATGTGGATTTTATTTTCTCCCCCAGCCAGGAGTCCCCACCCCTGGAGGGGTTTCCAAGCCGTGGAGATGTGGGCTGAGGGACACGGGGCAGTGGGGACCTGGCAGGGCTGGGGGAAGGGTTGGACTCAATGATCTTAAAGGTCTTTTCCTACCTAAATAATTCCACTATTCCTTTTGCAGAAGAGGCCAACGCCAGCAGCCAACCAATTCAAAGCTCAAACACACTCACCTTCTCCAGAGCTTTGTTGCTCAGATCATTGCTGTGAACAGACAGCATCAGCTATTCAGAACAGAGGCTGCAGCCCCCTCCTCCTGATGGTGACTGCTTCCACAAACTCAAAGAACTGAGCAGGCTTCATTATTTTCACATGTATTGGTGGAATCAAAAATCACCTACTTCAACAGATTCAACAAATAATTCACTACCTTCTCCAGAGCTTTGTTGCTCAGATCATTGCTGTGAACAGACAGCATCAGCTATTCAGAACAGAGGCTGCAGCCCCCTCCTCCTGATGGTGACTGCTTCCACAAACTCATTCAAAGAACTGAGCAGGCTTCATGATTTTCACGTGTATTGGTGGAATCAAAATCACCTACTTAACAGATTCAACAAATTCAACAAATTCACTACAGGAGTTGTGACCTAGAAGAGAAAGATTTGATGCCCTCTGCACCCCTGCCCATCAGTGCTGACAGAGTAGATGTCTCTTTCTAGACTTTTTTTAAGCAAGTGAAGTGGTATGTGAGGTGGTACTTGATCTCTCCCATCTTTTTTTTTTTTAATGCCTTTAGAAAGCTCAAAGGTTTACCAGGTACATAAGGAGTGATGATCAAACCTGTGTGCTTGAATATGGCTTCTACAAGAATCATAGAACTGCTTAGGTTGGAAAAGACCTTCAAGATCATAGATTCCAACCATCAACCTAATTCCACCAAGTCCACTGCTAACCCGTGTCCTTCACACCACATCTCCATGGCTTGGAAACACCCCCAGGGGTGGGGACTCTACCACTGCCCTGGGCAGCCTGGTCTTGTCCTGTCCCTTGTCCCTTGGGAGCAGAGCCCGACCCCCCCCTGGCTCCAGGCTCCTGTCAGGAGCTGTGCAGAGCCAGAAGGTCTCCCCTGAGCCTCCTTTGCTCCAGGCTCAGCACCCCCAGCTCCCTCAGCTGCTCCTCCCCACACTTGGGCTCTAGACCCTTCCCCAGCAGCTCCGTTGCCCTTCTCTGGCCACGCTCCAGCCCCTCAAGGTCCTGCTGGGAGTGAGGGGCCCAAAACTGACCCCAGGACTTGAGGGGCAGCCTCCCCAGTGCCCAGCCCAGGGGGAAGGCCCCTGTCCCCCTAGTTCTGCTGGACACACTAATGCTGCTGCGTGGCCAGCACAAGCCAGGATGCTGGTGGCCTTCCCTGGCCATGTGGGCACACACTTCAGCCAGCTGTCAACAACCCCAGACCCCTTTCTAGCCCCTAAAGACATTCTAATGCCCTCAATAACAGTAATTCCACCTACTGGAAGTAGATCATGGTTTCTGAAATTTGATCATTGTCCCATTATGAAAGCACCACTGGGTTGGGTTTATCTTTCCTCTCACACCAGAGCCTGTTGTCACCTGTTGAAATTTGAGACTGACAAACACTTAAGCATCAGATACATTTATTAGACAATTCAAAAAGTCAGTTTTATTAGACAATGCAAAAAGAAAAGTAGAATATTGCTTAACTTCCACGTTTTAATACTTCATCTCAAGAACCTGGCAATCACAGAACATAAAAATAGTGTTTACAAAAAAGTTTCAAAAGCTGCACTGCATTTGGATTACAGGAACCACAATTAGTTGACAAGGGAGCTTTATAAAACGCAGTAACAGATTTTCAGCTGATTATGAAACAGTGATATTGCCACAGATGTGCAGTCACCAAACCAGCACAGTGTGGAAATTAAGGCACTTCAGACACAGAGTATTCACTTCCCTAGAGGAAAACAATGTCAGAGAAACCACAGGAAACTGCTACTGGTAGATAGTGACAGTGCCCAGCACCAGCCATCGAAGCACCAGGTTTGTGTGAATCAGTGAAGTTCTCAGTAAAAAAACAACTGAATTTTTGGGTTTTTTTTACCCTTACTATTGGATAACAAAGACTCATTCAAGCAAATTTACTTTTAAAGATGTCAAGGAAGATTTCCGTGACTTAAACACTGTTAGACACAGTTTTAAAAGTTAAACACTTTACAACAAAAAGCTCATGAAGTCCACATTAAGGATTAGAGCATGAAGCTACTTCAAAAGAAGAAAAAAAAACAATGCAACCAAAACCAAAGCAGCCTTGACTTTCTCCATTCAGTACCTCCCTGCCACTTCATGGGGGACCCACCAACCACAGCACAGTATAGGAAATACAATAAATAGAATAATTTGTCAAAGAACCAACCTCTCCAAGACTGAGCTTCCTAATCCTCCTTTTTATTTTAGATTGTCATATGTTTTACTGCCTGGATCCCAATCTGCCACGAGCATGCTATTTACTAACCCACCTACAACAGATTCTACAAATAATTGAAAGAAAAATTCATCTCAGCTGGTTTTCACCACTGCCTTAAAAGCAACATTTCACCAGTGAGTAGTTTCATAGATTTCTCTTGAAGCCTTCAGGACATGAATTCTCAGGAGTAAAAATACCCCAGGATCTAACCCTGCAAGCACATGAGTATTTTAACAGGAGTTAAACAGAACTGTTAGCAAAGACATCAGGCATTTACAGGACCAGGCACTTAAATTGTGTCTTATTGCTGCTGGTTTACTTCACTAATTTGAATGAAAAATGCCATTGTACATAAAAAGAAAAAGGCAACTTCTTCAAAAATTAAATAGGACTTTCTGTGGAAATTATGTTTACTGTAAACAACTTGGCTTGTAATTAGAACAAATAATTTCCCCAGCAGAAAAAAATCAGTAAGGTCCAACAGATTTTGCCTTAAGTGAGGAAGCAGACACTAGAAGAGAGTTTACAAATATATTCCTGCCATGTCTCTCCTGCAGCATTAACACCCCCAAGGAGCCCTGTCCTTCAGTGTTAATTCTTCTTTTACAGCCCAGACACACTTCAGTGTAACATGCAGCTCTTCAGCACTGAAGAGCTCCCCTTACATCTGAAGTTTAAATCTAGAATATGCAATTATCCTTCCTGAAACCAAATATCCCAACCCTGCTCGAGTGATAGAACATTCCTTGGTCCACAGAATGATTTCTGCCCCCAGTGCCAGAGCCCCCACATAAGCCTGTCACTTTTTGAACCATTGGGATCCATGGGACACCATTTTGGAGTACATGAGTATTGAGAGTTTTGGAGAGCAGCTTAAGTAGTTCCTTACAGCTCAGAGGAGCAAAAGGCACTGTGCTGGTGAAGCTGCCACGTCTCGTGGGGGGGATTCTGTTGCCTCCTGAGACCCTCACAGCTTTACAGGGTGATGACAGGCAGCTGAGGACGAAGTCACACAACCAGAAAACACTCACTTGCAACCTGAAGAACCTTCAAGAGTAGAGCAGACCCTGTGCAGGAATCCAGCTTCTTCCTCCACATAGCAGAGACCTCTTTATGTCCATTTTTCCATGCCAGGATAAACTCAGTGTCTCTCCCTTCACCCCTTTGCAGATTCCTGAAGCATCTTCTCGAGTCAGGGTGGGATCAGAACACGTTTTTACAAACCCACCATCTGCAGGATTCAGCCAGCTCAAATAGTCATAGAGTTTCCTTTCTAGAAGTGTTATTATGTGACTGGTTACTAGGATAATGCTATTTAAAAATATAGTGTTTTATAATAACAATCTTTTCGTACAGACAAAAAGAGTTAGTGAGTTTTCAAAGCCATGAGAGCTGAGGAGATGAGAAGTCCCACCCAGCAGAACACACACTCCTCTGCAATTCAGGCATTTCACACCTAAGAACAGAGTTGGACATTACACTCTAAGTGTCCTGAGTGCAGTGTCTTCTTTTGTGACCCTTCAGAAGAGAAGTAACATCAGCTCTAAGCATTAAAGAGGCATTAAAACATATTATCCCCCACATATATCCACAGTTGCTGAGTAGGGACAGAGCCTGAGTATCTTTGGAGGGGGATTTTTTTTCAATGAACACCATAAGTGGAAGGATTTTTAACCTGGGTTATTCTCTTTGTCTTTCATAAGGTAGTAAAAGATTTGGCATAAACTACGTTGGGTTTTATGTTGTCAAGAAAACCCACTAAAATGACAATTATTCAAATGAGAAGTATTCCTTCAACTCCAACCAAAGCCACAAGACTGATCAACACCAATGGTAGTGTTTATATTGGCCTGTGTTGATTACATGGTTAAAAAATGCAGCAGGCATGCTGACCAATATCACACATATCAATGACACTTCTGTGATTAAAACAAAAGTTAATGCATACAGAGTGGAAAAATAAAACACAGTAAAACAGCTTATCTGGGGACAAATTTGCAAGTGACTCCAGCTTTTACCAAATGCATGACAACAGCTATCACAAGGGGCCTTTTCCCTTTGGCTGCAGGGCATGTTATTTAAAAAAAAAGCACATGATGATGTGATAATGTGGAACTCCATGCAGATGGACATCCACAACCTCAGAGTGCACACACACACAGAGTGATACATGCTGGGAAGTGTTACCAGCAGCAGAGCGACGTCCTACCACTGCTCCCAGCTAAAGTCATCTCCTCTACCAAACACAAGAAAAAAGCCTAAAATAGTAAGGAAAATGACTGCATTGCCAGCCAGCACCAGGCCACAGGCTCCCCATTTGATCTGAAATGCAAGGAAATGAAACAATCAAAGCTGTTCTTATAACACACGTGCAGGACAGTTATTTCTATGCATTAGATAAATCGAAATACTACAGAAAAGTGCTAAAAGCATAAAGGAAAAAAAGACAAACAAGAAACCATTCCATTTATGTGACTAATCATTCAATTAGCAACCACTCCTATGATTAATGCTTTAGACAGGCTCATAGTGCTGTGTTTTAGAATAATTACCTCACCATACAAGTCACTAAAATGTACCTAAGTCATAGAAAAAAAGATCTGGTGAAAACAGGAGGTGGATTTAAAGGTAAATAGCTTGCTTTGACCATCTGCCCGACCAAATTGACTCAATTAAGTGACAATTAAAGATATAGGTATAAATTAGAGTTCCCCCTCGTGGTCACTGCTGGCTCTGCCTACGTCAGGTCCACAGGTTCAAAACAGAAAAGGCAGCATGAGGGAAATTTGGCATTCCAAAGAAATTAAGACTAAGCACACGAGTTTGAAGCAAAACTGAAAGCCTGCAGGGGAAAAGAACCCAACACCTACAAACATCGTTGGGCAGTTTGGGAGACAGGCCCAAAGAGTTCTTTGCCTTGCAAAACAAACCAATCTCACCACTGAAGAGCAGTTCAGAAAGCAAAGAGAAAAAGAAGCTAGCAGAATTTCCTCAGACTCTGAGGGGGCAAAGCATGAGCTTGGGAAATGCTTTGAAAACCAGAAGGGCAGCTCTGGAAGTTTGGCCTTTTAACTGGGAACGTGTTCCAGTCAGCAACTTTTCAGCATCCTACATGGAGAAAGGACATTCTGAGAGAAAAATAAGGAAGGTGGCACGAAAAGCAGGGCAAAATTGATGAGACAGAGAGGCATGAGATGTAGGAGGAGATAATATCTTGTATTGGACCAAAACAAAGCTGGAAAATAAAAAAAAACAGCTAAAATCTTTTCAGTCATCCAAGTCCTCTGCTCACTATAAAAATTTCCACAGCTTTTCCCTCAGGATAACGAGAGGAAAGGCAGGATGCCCAAAGAGCAACACCTCCCAAAGATGTGGCACTCAGTTTTGGCCCCTCAAAACAAAAGCCAAGGAGCAGCACTCACCGCTTCCACCCGGGCCAGGATTATAGGGAAGCCAAAGGCAGAGACAACGATGCCAGTGGTGAAGAAATAGGCCAGCTCCCTGCAGGCACTGCTGGCCCCCTCGCTGTCATCGCCCACACGCTTGGCAATGAAGTGGGGAATGGGGCAGATGAAGTAAAATATTAAGACAAACAGAGGCCAGTATACACTGGGGAGGGAGGGAAAAAGGAAAGACGTGGTCAGTTTTGATGGATGCGTCAATAAAAAGGTCTCTTTTGCTTAGGAAAATGGGAATTTATGGCCTGAAAAGTGGATTTTTATGGTTTATGTGTTATTTAACCAACAGCTTTCAACCAAAGAGGTAATCCCACCTCGCTCTCCCTGCACACAGGCACCAGCAGAGCCTCGTGTACAGCAGGACCCACCCCCTCACAGGACCCAAACTTAATGGATTTCACATTTACACCACCTCAGTGATTCAGCTCCCCACACAGCAGTCACCACACGGGGAACAGGAACCACAGGCAAGCAGGGCAGGAACCATGAGCTTCCTCAAATTAAAGGGATTCTGGAGTGTAAACAGGCTGACTGAAGGCACACCCTCCTGCTCCCATCTCTGGGTGAGAGCTTCACATGGATTCAGCCTGGATTTTAAGGAGACATCCCAGCTGGAGTCTTGTGGTAGAAGGGTTGTTGAAAGAAACTGGGAATCATAGAAAGGTTTGGGTTGGAGGGGACCTTAAAGATCACCCAGTTCCAACCCCTCTGCCATAGGCCAGGACACCTCCCATGCCACCAGGTACCAAAAAGCCTCATCCAACCTGGCCTTGAACACCTCCAAGAGCATCCACAGCTTCCCTGGGCAACCTGGGCCAGAGCGTCATCACCTTCAGAGTGAACAACTTCTCCCTAACTTCTAATTAAAAACTCTTCCTACCTTCTAACTGAAACCTCTGATCCCTGATTAGAATCTCGCCCTAATTCCTGGCCAGAATCAGTTCCCAAGCTCCAGGCAGAATTGCTCCCTAATTCTGAGCCGGAATCTCCCCCTAATTCTGAGGACCACCCCGTGTGAGGTTCAAAACGGTTATTTAGCACCCACCTCGCCTTTCCTCAGTAAACAATTCCCCCCCCAAGCTCACCCGTAGTACTCCAGGGCGCAGCCCAGCATGAGGAACGTCAACCCGATGGCCCCGCTGAAGGAAAGCGCCACGAGAGCTGCAAGGGGACAAGGCGGGAGCGTGAGGCGGGAGTCGCCTCAGCCGCTAACGGTCGTTACGGGTCAGCCCTCCCCGGTGAAGGGCGGTTGAGGGCGGTGAGGGCACAACCCGGGGGCTCTGTCCCCTCACGGAGACCTCGGCCCGAAGGCGGGAAACGGCCGCTCACGAGCCGCTTCGGGCCGAGGCCTCTCGGTACCTTTGACACCCGCCATCTTCCCGTCTCCGTTAACGGCACCGAACCCACACCGACTTCCGCCTACCGGGCCCTTGGCCACGCCCCCTCCGCCTCACGTGACCCGCCGTCTTAAAGGGCCAGCAGGCCTTTAAAAGTCTTCCCGTCGCCATGGTGACGGGGTGGTGCTTCCCCTCCGGGCGGGTGTTCGGTATCTAAACGCGCCCACAGGGACAGAGAGGTGTCGTTCATGTGTGCGAAAAGACGATTTAAAGGAGTAAATAACGTTTGTAAACAGCTGGTTTGAGGGGTGCTGTGGAAAAACCCCGTTTTCACCTCAAAAAATAGGTGCCCGGGTGCCTGCTGGCCTCAGGATTTGCATCGTCCACCTCCTTCTGCTAATCCACAGCCGTGAGGGTGCATCACGGTTTGAACGCTATTTTTTTCAAACCTCAGGTTTTTGAGAGCCTGTTTTTGAGCCAAAAGCAGCTTTTCCGAGGGAGGTTTTCATAGAATGGGTTGGAACAGGCCTTCAGGATCTAGTTCCAACCCCCTGCCATGGGCAGGGACACCTCCCACTAGAGCAGGTTGCTCCAAGCCCCATCCAGCCTGGCCTTGAACACCTCCAGGGATGGAGCATCCACAGCTTCCCTGGGCAACCTGGGCCAGGGTCTCACCACCCTCACAGGGAAGAACTTTTTCCTAATTTCTAATCTAAATCTTCCCTCTTCAAGTTTGAAGCCATCACCCCTTATCCTACCACTACAATCCCTTGTAAAAACTCCCTCCCCAGCTTTCTTGTTGGCCCCCTTCAGATACTAGAAGGCCATAGTATCTCCCCAGAGCCTTCTGTTCTCCAGGCTGAACCTCCACGTCCTTCACCTTGGCCTCACACCAGAGGGGTTCCAGCCCTCAGGTCATCTTCATGGCCATCCCTTGGCCCTGCTCCAACAGGTCCATATCCTTGGGATACACCTCCCAGGGAAGGTTTTCATTAGATATCTCCCCTCTCTCCTTCTCAACTCTTCTTGTTTCATGGGTTCTTTGATACAGATTTTTTCCCAGTTATTATAATTATTACAACTTCATTAAGCTGCCTTGTTGGCTCTAATGGGCACGCTTAAATAGCAAAATTTTTACTCAAAGAATTTAGCTAGGTGCTGTGTTTGTTGAGTTGCTTGGGTGTCTCCAGCGTTGTTCATATAGGACCAACGTTCTCAAGTTGTTTCCATAATGTCTTAATTTGGGAAAAGCACCTGGAATGCCAAGCTGTGGATGACTGCACAGCATTAGTGACCACTTTAGAGCCGTGACCACCACCTGAGTGATCACCACCCGTACTATGGAAGCAGATCTATGATTTTAACACTGTGGTCTGGTCACACTTCGTGTTTAGCAATTGAAAACAAGATTTCTTGTTTTTTTTTCAGACAGAAAATGATGTAAACAAGGTACAGCAAAAGCATCTCTACTATTGAAAAAAAAAACTCCAGAAAAAAAAGTGAGTGATCACCACCCGTACTATGGAAGCAGATCTATGATTTTAACACTGTGGTCTGGTCACACTTTGTGTTTAGCAATTGAACATGAGATTTCTTAGCTTTTTTTTTAGACAGAAAATGATGTAGAGATGATTTTGCTGTACCTTGTTTACTATAGAGGAAAAAAAAACTCCAGAAAAAAAAAGAGTATTTGTCTTTAGAGTAAGTTATTTGTGGACACCTTCGTGTACCGCAGAGGTCCCCCCCAACTGAAGGCAAAAGAATTTTCCATTTGGAGGTGTTGTTGCTTATCTGGCATCTACAGAGACATGACTTTGAGCTGTGTTTAAACCAAGGCAGCAACAGGTTCCCCCCCCCCAGCACAAAACATACCTGAATATGTTAATTTGAGCTTTTTAATGTATATACAAATGTTTTAGACCAGTCACAATTTCATCGTTTATATACTGTATTTACAAAAATTACAATAATTTAGTCAAACAGTAAACCTGAACATTGATAACCTCTGTCACTACCAGATATGACAAGAATGGTGTGTTTTTTTTTTTTTTAGTTAACTATTTTGATAAACATACGTCCTAATACTTTCATGCATCCATAAAAACATTAGGGATGGAAGTAATCAAAGCTTAAGTGGGGTAGGGTTTCTTTTGGTCGATAAAGTTTAATGATGGATTAAAGTGTCCAGAGTTATGTGCCATGACCAACTCCATACAAAGCTAACGTAGTTTTCATCATTAAAAAAAGTACTTTATAGTAATGAGATCCTTTTTATTATATAGGCATAGGTCACAAGATCTACAAATGTGAATGAGAAACAATAAACCAACAAATCACAGGAACATGATTCACATTCCAGTTATCTCTTTAAAGAAGACAAGCACATACTGGATCAAAACATTAATAAATAACATCCAGTTTGTTACTATTATCTTAAGGTCTTTTATATAAAAGGAGACCTATGTGTTGGTTTCACATTGTTAATTCATGGTAGTAAATAATGGACCAATACAACAAAAGGATGACTTTTATACAGAAAGCAATGGACTTTGACACGCTGTCTTTGCAGTAAATCTTTTGCCACTTGAAAATCTAAGTGCAACAAGTGGATTGTCTTTAAAAACCACTGGCTTTAAAGATTCCATCCGATGGCAACCTGTTCCTTGAGCAGCAGATACAAATTCCTGCCTCCTCCTGAACATACCAACCCTTTCCAAGCTCAGATACAGACACATGTTGGTGAATAAACCTCTACTAAATTCCTTTAGTTTCCTACAAAAGGAGAATGCCAGAATTTGGGGTGAAGAGTGTAAAACTTGCTTTTTACCTAGGAAAGATGCTTCAGCTTTAGCATCAGAGGAATCTCCTTCTGATATTATTGCTTTGGTCCAATATAAACTTTTAAGAGAATCAATTTGCACTGGCTTTACCTCAGAGATCAGACCTGGCCCACTGACATCTACACCATGGTCTGAAAAGTGAAGTTGCAACAGGTTGTATTCTGCCAAGAGCCTTTGCCAAGTGCTCTGGAGCTGATAAAGGCATAGAGGTGATACACAGCAGGCTGGAAAAAGGTATCTGGAATCCTCAGGAGGGACAGTGTTACCTATAGACTGGGAAGTTTCTAGAACTTTGCAGCAGAGTGTCGGTTGGTTGATATTTCTTTTGATGGTTTCAAGGTATTGGTGAGAACTTTGTGGGAAATGCAGTACATGCTCATTCCTCATTTTCACAAACGTGGATTCACCCTTCCCCCCCAATTCCCTATTCCCCCAGAACTGTTGTTTAACAAACCAAGGTACTGTTTAACCAGTTTCTTGTTCCTTGCTTTCAAAGACATCGCTCCACACTGCTGAGGAATCTCTTTCCCAAGGTGAAGTATGGTGTTAACACACAAAGCAGCAGTCAGCTGCCACACTCATCTAACCCAGGATTCAGCTCCATCTCCATTCAGGCACAACACACTAAATGAGCAATTAAGCAACAAATGGTGACTGTTATAAGTGTGCCTGAATCACACCTGAGCACTTCAATTGGATAACCTTTGATCCAAACCTGGGAAGAAAGGACATCAAAGTCTGGGCTTCACCAATTACTGAACTCAGCTGAAGTGTTGTCATATCACACACAAAAAAAAAAACCCTAGGTAGGAAATCCACCAGGTACACTGTGTCAGAGAGAACAATTCCACCTTTGCCCAGAATGTGTTCTCTCTCTCTCTCACCTCACTTGAATCCAAAGAAAAACACAGAAGTTACAAGAAACTGTAACCCCTGTGGCTCCCATGTGGCAAGCCAGGTGGCTAGAGTTCCTCTGAGCTCAGGATTCTTGACACAACTATAAGGAAACTTTTCTCTTGTTCTTCATGATAAGTATTAGGCTCTTAGTTTTCGGAAACTTCTGAATTTCCAGCTAGAGTTTGGTTGATCTGTGACATTTGTGACAAGAGACTATATAAGAACTAGCACAGGTCTGTAGTGGAGACTGAGAAAGTACCTAATACAAGGGTTTTTGTCCTTGGTTTTCAAATTCTGACCAGGCATCATTTAGCTCCATAAATATCATCTTTGCATATTGTTCATATGGCTGCCCAGTAGCCTGGAATAAAAAAACAGAAAGAGGGATGTCACATCTACCAACTTGGACCACAACAAGCTGATGTTTGAGCAGCTGGATTCTCAAGCAGTTATCATTCACTTCCCACAAATGGTTTTCAGTTATTCTTTGACCAGGACAAGCTTCTTACCTTGTTCACAGCTTAAGGATTTCTTGGCTCTTCTGCTCCTCAGAGCTGATAACCCCCCCCAAGTATGACAAAGCACTGGAGTCCCAAGCACAAAAATCTTGAGGCTAGGCTTTGCAAGAGGCATTTTACCTGCACTGAAGGGGAAGAGCTGCCACCTGCCAGAGTTCTGTGATACAAGCAGTATTCCTACAAGCCCCTGGGCAGCCCACATCTTCTCAAGCCTTGCCCACTGCCCTGAAACCCTCAGGGCCCCCACTTCTGTTCAAGTAGAAGCCTCATCATCCCCACAGGGGTTCCCAGAGGGCACCGTTGCCCTCTGGTTGGCAAGTGTAAGCAGCAAGATCACCAACTAGATAATTGCATAACCCATTCTCCATGTTAGAAGTTTGATTTTAAGAGCCCCATCCTTTCATAGGTCCCTATCACACCTCCACCCCTTCAGCAGGCACAATATTCTGGATTGCTGTTCACCACCAGTATGGTTTAGGGTCAAAGTGAGGGCAACAGAAGCTGGACACCTAAATCTCTGTTGCTTGGAGCAGCATGTGCCAGGTAGTCTTGGGGCTGGGAGAGGTCAGAGCTCTCACCTTTCAGAAACTGGCAAAGATCCTAAATGACTTCCTCCTGCAGAGCTGTTTGCACCAATAAACGAAGCAATCACATTAATCCCTTTATAATTAAGGCAACAGTGCCAATTTCTGGACTTGGAACTAGGAAAGCTTTACCTTGTCAGGATGGACAACAAGCACTGCCCGCCGGTAGACCTTCTTCACCTGCTCTGGTGTGACAAGATCTGCCATGCTCACAGGTTTCCACTTGGTCTCCCCTGCCCACAGGACTGTATGCATTGTGGACAGCAGGGCTCTTATATTCCTCTCCTTCCCTTCAATCCATTCCAGGACCTGGAGACAAGAATGTGAGCCTCAGTTCATGCCTTAGATATTCCAGCAGGAAAATGTTCCTTCGTTTGAATAGCAAGGTCTCCAAGGAGCACCTTACATTCCTTCCCCAACTTTAGAAAACATTTCAGAGGATAGTTGTCAGTCTTTACTTTGACACCTATTTTTTTATATCACTGCTTGAAAGTTAAGACACACCTTGAACAACATCCCTGCTAAAAATACTGAGTTGGCGATGCTTATGAACAATCATTAGATGAAACAGTCAGAAGACACATGAAATGTCCCAGGGAGGTGGTGGAGGCTCCATTCCTGGAGATAAAGGTCAGGCTGGATGAAGCTCTGAGCAGCTTGATCTAATTGGAGATGTCCCTGCTTATAGCAGGGGTTGGACTAGATGACCTTTGGAGGTCCCTTCCAACCCAAACATTCTATGACTATGATAACTGCATGAGTCTCCAGCAAGCTTAACTGCACACCTAAAGCAACCTTGACTAGAACTCTCCTGTGGATGTGTATATCTTTTGTGCATGCATAGAGTTAAGTCTTCTAAAGACTCAATGAAGTAAAACAGAGAGGAAGGAGAATTGTATTGGGAAGGGAGAATCAGCTGCATGCTCCAGCAGTTCAGCAGCTTGCACACATTCAATGGGACCACATGAACCACTGAGGTGGTATAGCTTATAAACTGGGAAAGCTGCTCTAAGTACAATTCAGGGGGTTGCATTTCAAATGTAGAGTGGGACAGGCTCAATTTCCTTCCCTTCCTAACAGATCTGTACTTTGGCAATTTATAGAGGAGAAAGGAGAGAATTCCAAAGCAGGCAAGATTAATGAGACAGAGGATTAGTTTGATTAGCTGTGCCTGCTAATCAGGGCTGGAATGATGTGGGAGACCAGCAGCCCCATGAGTAACAGTGAGCAAGCCACCCTTTGCCACAGGCTGGTTTAGGCCAGAAATGTAACCTTGGGGTTTTAAATCTCTTCCAAAGGATGTTCACATCTCCAGGGAAGGCATGAGAATTTCACAGGAGCAAACCCTGTGAAGCTCTCACTTTCTGCCCCAAGGCAATCTTGCAGTGGGGAGAACATCCCTCATTTCACCAGCCCTGGGTTTGGCAGGACAGGGAGAGAAGGTCACTGTTCTTGTGGTGGCCTCAAGCTATCAGTGAGAGCTTCATGGGAACTTTCAAGCTATCGATGAGAACACCTTCATTTGTCAGAAGCTCTTTCAGAACAGGTTCTAAAAACTCAACCCTTTTTATCAGTAGTATCTCTCACTCTGATGAGATGGGGAAGTTATCTCCACAAACACCCACAATGTATGACTTTCTCTTTCTGGTGACACTAGCTCACTGCTGTCTGGCACATGAATGGGGAGAAAAGCAGTTAATGATGCCATCAGGCTTAGACATTCTGTGGAAAGCAAGAATGAGAGAGAGCTCATAGTCCTGGGGACCTAGAGGCTGCCTTCATGGGAACTTTCAAGCTATCGATGAGAACACCTTCATTTGTCAGAAGCTCTTTCAGAACAGGTTCTAAAAACTCAACCCTTTTTATCAGTAGTATCTCTCACTCTGATGAGATGGGGAAGTTATCTCCACAAACACCCACAATGTATGACTTTCTCTTTCTGGTGACACTAGCTCACTGCTGTCTGGCACATGAATGGGGAGAAAAGCAGTTTATGATGCCATCAGGCTTAGACACTTATTCTGTGGAAAGCAAGAAGGAGAGAGAGCTCATAGTCCTGGGGACCCAGAGGCTGCACACTAAGTGCTACAGCAGGAGGAGAGCTTCTGGCATTAAATGATCAGAAGGATGTGCTTGGCTGCCTCACGTGCAGGACAGCTGGTGGTTTTCTGCCTCCCCCACCTCCAACATGACAAGAATAAAAGACACATTGAACAATTGCAAGAGCATAAACAAGTCCATTGCTCACTTTTAGTTTTTCAGGGTCCATCTCCTTAGCCATTTCTTCTTTTCTCATCTCAGCTATTGTTTTAGGGCCCTTTTTGTCCTTGTGAGCATTAAAGCCTTGACCAGATAATAGATCTTCGAAATCTGCAGACACTTTTGGTTTTGCATCTTGAAAAACAAGAAGATTTGAAGTTGGCATCACAATATAAACTTATGGAACACTACTTTTCTACCCAAGCCATCCCCCAACACTTATCACCATAACAATCAGTTGGTGCTAATGAGTGTCCAGGTGCTCACAAGAGAGGTATAACAGCCTAATGTTAATTTTAAATTATTATTGAAGTCTCTTTGGAATAACAGGAGTTCCTAAATCCTATGAGGACAGGCTGAGAGAGTTGGGGTTGTTCAGCCTGCAGAAGAGAAGGCTCTGGAGAGACATTATTGCAGCCTTCAAGTACTTAAAGGGGGGCTACAGGAAGGATGGGGAAGGACTTTGGTTTTAAACTGAAAGAAGGTAGATTCAGATTAGATGTAAGGAAGAAGCTTTTCACAGTGAGGGTGGTTGGACACTGGATCAGGCTTCCCAGTGAAGCTGTGGATGCTCCATCACTGGACGTGTTCAAGGCCAGGTTGGATGGGGCTTGGAGCAACCTGGTCTAGTGGGAGGTGTCCCTGCCCATGGTGGGGGGGTGGAACCAAATGATCTTTAAGGTCCCTTCCAACCCAAACTGTTCTGCAATTCTAAATATTAGCACACTTGACAGTCTAGGACAGAACAACCGTTGAACTTCATGTGTGTCATCAAACAATCAGCAGGACAGATGTGCTTAGACCCTAACCTGGTGTTTGAGCACTGAAGCACAAGTAGGAGCCAACCTTTTGGATGCTGAACTCCAGGGAGCTTACCCACGTGAGCTGGTCCTTTCCCACGCTCGTTCTGCGCTCCCGGCGCCGCCGAGAAGCTCACGTTGTAGTTGGGTTTGTTCTGGGGTGAGGCATGAGGCATGCTTGGCTGGGCTTTGGGCTGGGGCTGCTGCCAGCCATAGCCAGCTCCTTGCTGCCAACTGCTGCCACCCATGGGCTGGGGAGAAGGTTTCTGTGGCGAGGGGGGGAAGCCTCCACCCATGCCCGTCGGCGTGGTCGGTTTGCTGGCAAACGAGGGGCCACCTGCAGAGCACGGAAAAAGGGGTGACAGCAGATGTTAGAAAACAAGAACCTGACTTGCCTTCCAAAAAGGGAACCTAAACCAGATCCCCCAAGCAGCTGGCTTCTATTTTCAGCTCTGCTATAAACTTATTTTTGCAACATCAAGCAAAAACCCTTCAACTTTCCTGTCACTGCTCTGTAAGCTGCTTAAAAGGCAGCACCTGCCTTTGAAGGTGGCACAGGAACTGGAGGGGAACCTTGTTGGGGAAACACCAGGAAAGCAGCTAACTGGGAACCAGAGCTGCTGGGTTTTGTGGTGGTGGCAACACCAAGTTGACATGTGTTGAAGGAGCATCACCTTATGGTGTGCTGATGGGATGCTGTCCCCAGGGGTTGTGTGTTTCAGCACCTCATTGCTTTAGGGGATGCTCCTCTGGCTCAGTTTGAGGTGGGAGGTACACAGTGTTCATGTTTTATTATTGGAGACTAACATCCACACAAATCTGAGCTCTGAAACAGGTCATGGAAACTGGATCAAGGGCTTTCAACTTGGTCATGAACAACAAAAACGTGGTTAAATATCCTGTGCGTGCCAAGCAGTTTGTTTTGAAACTCCAACAACTCTGCTGCAGAACACATGTTTTAAAAACACCTCGATGGCTCTGCCGTGGGTCTTGGCAAGCTTTTTATTTTGCTCCTGCAGAGCAGCTAGTGATCCAGCAGAGGGAACCGGGAAACCTAATTCCAGAACCATGCTGCTACTGACGCAAAGGGGAAAACAAACAGCAGATAAAACCACAGCGGCTTGCAAAGAGCTGGGGGCAGTGACAAAGGGAAGAAAAAAAACCTATTTATCCAAGTCAGAGAAGCTGACATGCTGGGTTTTAAGGAAAACCTTGAGCAATTTGTCAGAACTGCCTTTTTAACAGTAGGATTTGCTGATTGTTTTCTGAGATAAAACGAGGACAAAATACTTGTTTAAGGAGGAAAGAAGAGTCTTTTGTAGCCAGTTGCAAATAAGAGGCTCAGACTCCACCAGACAGCACAGCAAATTAGAGGCAGATTAGTGAGGTTCCACAGGTTTCCTCACAAAAGAGCAAAAATGAGTCAATTCTAGAAGGAAACAATTCCCCAAGGACCCCAGAAGCTTTGAAGAGCCAAAGGCTGTTCAGAGGCACTGCTCCAGGCTGTGTAGCAACAGTTCTCCAGAGCTAAATACAGAGCATCCTTCACCAGGGACTGTTTAGGCTTAGAAGATAGAGGTTACACTTCACAATCCATAGAGCCTAGCAAGGTCCCACCAAATTGTTAGCAGGGTTTTTTTTTTTGCTAGAGGATTAGGAAAAGCACAGGTTTGTCAGAGCTTATGGAGAATCAGGTAGCAGACAAAGCCTGAAAGCAGCAGTGGCATGCAGGTTGCTCAAGAGGACCCAGAGAGCATTTTGTCACATACCAGGCTGCTCGTCCTATTTCTCCAAAACAGAGCTGGTTGTGTTATTTAATTATTTAAGAAGGGATGCAAACCTGCTAAACTTGCTCCAAGAGTCCCCAGATCAGCAAATGGATCCAGTGTTTGGGGTTTAGACTGATGAGTGGGAGTGCTGTGGAGGGATCCTGTAGGACTGGTGGCAGCTGACTTACTCCCCATTCCTAGGCCACCTTAAAAGGGAAAAAAAATTATGTAAAAACCAAAATAACTCCGTTTTTATCCTTATTTTACATGAGTGCATCTCTTACCCACTGCTCAGTCACACACTGCTAGACTAGTGCTGTTAAAATTGAGTGTGCTATTGTCAGGCTCCTAAGCAGCCTCAACTCAGCATTGGCCCAGACTAGTTGCACACCCACTCACGATTAGGCTCAGCCAGAAGAAAGTTCCTCAGGCTGTCTGCAGTGACAGAGTAATTATGACAAATGAATCTATTTTAAGATCTAGAAGCTTTCAGGAAGCAGCTTTTGGTAGGGCATACATACTCTCCCAAGTTTAGGAAGTATCCTGCTATTATTTAGTGGGATCCTAGGAACACGTAGAACTTCCCAGGTCCTTCTCATGGCTCTACGTTGGAATGAGACAACTCTGCACACTCACTGAGCACCTGCCCTGCTTCAAGTCCTGGTTTGTTGAGGAAGGAAACCCAGATTTTTGAACAGAAAGTTTTGTAGTCTTTCCAGATCCACACCCTGGATGATTAGGAGAGCAGGACAACAGGTAGAACACACTGGCTGCACTTCAGATGAGACTAAAATCCTGATGGAAGTTTTGTTGTAGTAGTGGAAGTGCTAAGCAGCAGAAAATGGGAACCTGTTCTCTGCACTCACTGGTATCATTTTTCCCCTCTCCCTCTCCTCTCTTAATGTCTCTTAATGTTTTTTTGTTAAATGTCCTGAATTTTTACATACGTACCTGGTTTGTTGGGCCAGTCCCAGCCACTGGAAACATCTGGTTGTATGGAAACAGTCGGTGTGCTAGAAGCTAAGCAGAATGATTATGTAGAAACAGCTCAAAGCAGTACAGCAAAACCAACATAATCCAGCATCTAGGAAGAGCAGGGGGCAAGGAGCAGGAGACACAGTATTGTGTCCATCTACTATTTCCCAGTTAGAAGTTACCTTCTACCCCATGATGGGTATTACAAATTTAACCATTTTTTTTCCCCTCTCATACTATAGAGAGATAAGGGGGAAGGACACAGATTTAGTGTTCATTTTATAGTAGCTTGAGTCAGAGGCTTTATGTCCTTATTTATATAAAAACACTGTACCACCAGAACAACTCATGGGGTTCTGTGTTTCTGAATACATCTCAACTCAAGCAAACATTCTACGTGCAAACAGAAAAGAGAACCAATAAAGCAAATCAGTCCACAGAGAGGTAAACCAGAAAGAACACACAGAGTCCTTCCTTCAACCCTGTACCCAAGTCTGTGCAGCCCACCCTGCCAGCATTTCATTATCTGTAGACACTAGCATGGTAATTTAACACCCCATCATGCTGGGATAACATTTAAATTCTTCTCATTAATGCAGCCAGCTCCAAGTGAGACTCAACCATCTTATTCAGAGTTAACATCCAATACCCAGTTTGGCAAAGCAAGGATGTGAGCAGTGCCAGCAGCACCCTAACTCCATCCTTGATCATTTTGGTTCTCCAGTGAGACTGTTGCACCCAAAGGACATGTGTGAGATGATCAGACAAATGAATTCACATCTGAATGTGTTTCAGAAAAGGTCACAACATTTCATTTTGGCATGGGGGGAGCAGGGGACAGCTATGGAACATTTTGAACAAAGATAAGAAAAAAAAGTCCAATAAAGACAAAAATAACATCCTTCTCTTCAAATAAGAGTCAAATTGAACTGTGAAATTGGCCAGGGTTACTATCAGAACTAAAGAAAGCAGATGTCTGTAACTAAAACCACCAAAGGATGTGTGTTTTCTTTAGAAGGCTTAATATGTCATGCTCTATTTAGTTCAATTAATGCTAGTTTGGTTCAAGTGAGACCTCAATACCACAGGAATATGCAGACAGACATTCCTCATGGTCTCTTTTTTCATATATACAGATAGCTTAATGAAGTCTAAGACCTGAGCAAAACTAGTCTCCTTCTACCACACTTCAAACTATGAACAGGCTCTAAGTCTGGAGACAAACAGCTCTTCCCTGTTCAGTGGGGTTTCTGTGGTTTAGAAGCATTTTATGGTGAGCACCAGTTTGTACTTAATGGCTCCATCACTATTTAAAAGCAGCATTTCACCTTTATTTAAATCCACTAGAAGAGCCTCAGCTTCTTACCCATGTGAAAGGGATCGCTGTGCACGGTTGGTGAAGGACTTCTCGTTGCCTGAAGGAAAGGATCACCAGGGACAGCTGAGGAACCAAGAAAGGAGCCCAGGAGGTCTGGACCAGTCTGCTTTGGGCTACTTCCAAATGGATCGAAGGCAGCAGCTGTAAAAAAAAACATATTTGAGAAAACTAAATCATTAATTTGTACAGTGCTTCAGGGAAAAGACACCAGTGTGTGGAGAAGAAAACCCCAATACCAAAGTGGAGACAGCATGTGACTATGGGGGAGCAACTGGACAGTATCAGTTACCTGGACTATCTTTTAGAAACAGCTTTGGAAAAATCACTTTCCTACATTTTTTTCACTTGTTAGAAAAGAATCCAGTTCACTCTTTAACTCCATTGTTGATCAATTTGTTTTGCCTACTGTCTTTCATGTGAAAAAAAAAAAAGCCCAACCAAAAGTAACTCTTGAAGTCACTCAAATTCTTACTTCTCAACATGTTTAAGGTAAAGAGGATCCTGAATGGAGATGCAATAGATACTAGCATAAAGATACAACCCTGAGAAGCTGTGCTTTGTGTTGATGCTGCTGCTCATTACTTATTTCACTCATTGTTTAGGACACTTCACAAATTACTAGTCCTCACTTATCCAGCAAGCTGTTATTCTTGCTTTCCTGAAGCAACTTAGCCACGTAGTATTTTTCCTTTGTCTTTCAAGCACCCATCAGGCTCTGCAAAGCTTGACAACAACATTCAGAAATCCTTTCCCAATACTGTTGCTGCACCTCTGCCTTGTGAGATGACCCTTCCCCACCCCTGGGCCGAAGCTGGGACTGAGCATGCAACAGCTACAGCAAGATGAGCTTTCTCCACATAAAAGTAGCCTAATTTCTTCCACTGAATCTTGTGTTCTTCTCCCCTCTTCTGCTTCCATTCCTCAGTCTCCATCTCTTCCCTCCCTTCACAAGTCTTGGTACAAGTAGATTGTATCTCTGGGATACTATTACATCAGCACAGCCTGGAGAAGAGAAGGCTCCAGGGAGACCTTCTTGCAGCCTTACAGTACTTCAAGGGGCCTGGTAGAAAGCTGGGAACAGACTTGTGAGCAGGGCCTGTTGGGACAGGACAAGGGGGGAATGGTTTGAAATGAAAACAGTGAGATTTAGACTAGAGAGAAGAAAGAAATTTGTTATGCTAGGGGTGGTGAGCCCCTGGCCCAGGCTGGCCAGAGAGGTGGTCGCTGCCCCATCCCTGGCACCATCCCAGGGGAGGTTGGATGGAGCTCTGAGCAACCTGTTAAAAAAAAGTTAACTAAGCCCAGTGTGCTCTCTGAATTTGGTACATGCTGAGAGCATCAGCTCTGACACTGTAACACAAAGGATTTGGCCAAAGCAAACAGAAGCTGTGCAGCTCAGCACAGCACACAGAGTCCTGCTCCCAGATCAGGCCACTTGTTCACATTCTGCCTTTGGCAAAAAACAACCCTCTATTCCAGAGGTCCTCCACGAATCTGAGCAACCTGGATTGGGCTCTTCACTTGTTTGTTGACAAATTATTTTCACTTGCTGTCCTCTGGTTACTTAATGCTCTAAAAGATGCATCTAACATCTATTCAACTACTCCCCTCTCCAAGTCTGATCTCAGCCTGTCTCTGAAGAAAAAAGATCTTCTCATGTTGCCTATCTTGTCTGGGGAAAGACCAGAAGCAGCCACATTAAACAGCCAGCATAAACTGTGTGGCCATATTTCATAGTCCAGGATCAATATCATAGCTCCAAGAGAGAGAAATTAAATTCTAACTGCTATGAGGTTACACAAAACCTAAGAAGCCTTTTTAAAAATATATATTCTCCTCACATGCATTATTGGGCATA